ATTTAGAATCAAACAAACAAACCAAAAATTTGTCCCCCGTCACAATAAATTTGAACCTAGTTTTGTTCTTCTTCAGACATTTCATGATTCTAGAGCAATTTGTGATATTCATAAAAGGATCAATTAAGAGTTGGAGATGTGGTGGAAAAAGAAGAAAAATGACTCACAGAGCATGAGGCAGATTGATGTGAGCTCCATCCTGTACTGGTGTCGTTTTCTTGTAAGTCAGGTTTTAACTGGGACAACACAACAGTCTGACGTGACACAGGAAGTCACCGAAGGTGTTGTGAGGTCGGACCGTTTTTAAAATTTCAGTTCCTATTTGCACAACTAAAAAGGACAGAACAGCACAAATGCAACAACAAAAGCAAATTGTGATGAAATTAAAACAACTCTAGAGGCTGAACAAAGAACAAACAATACGTACACGAAAGGAAAAAAACAATCACTGATCTGCAACAAATTCACACATTTTGCAGACTGGCTTGATGCTTTCTGAAACTTTTCATGGTAAACAGCATTGGTTCGTACTTTACGATGTCAGCAAATGATTCACAGTTTGTTGAGGATCTTTTATTGATTGCATGCTTTGTTTGTTTGACTCTTGCTGTGCAACAGCTGCTTCAGAATCTTGGTGAGAGTCACATGTCGCTGTCATTAGTATATGACTTTCTGTTCAGTGGAAACCACAGGCCATCAGAAAGGATATGTTTATGTGTCACATTTCAGAGAAACAGGATGTGAAGCAGCCACAACATACACAGCACCGTTTCTGTGATGTGTCAGTTACACCTGACCCGTCAGTAAGCCAACAAAGCACATCATGTTCTCTGCATTTTGATCACAGTTCTGGCTTTCTCTAAAGATTTCTGCCTCTCTACACCAATAAATACTCCCAGCACTGGATAACGAAACAAATGCATAACAAACACATTTGTACACCATTCCCCACCGTGCTTCACGTCATGATGCTGCCGCCGCCGTGCTTCACGTCATGACGCTGCCACCACCGTGCTTCACGGTGGGGATTTTCTTGTGTGATGCTTTGACTTTTGCTTTTCAAAAACCTTTTCATAGAGTTTCTTGGGTTCTGAGTCTTCATGGTCCAGTTCTATCCAGGAGTACTGGTCCACCAGTGACTGGTCCTTCCAGAAACAGGAGTCTTCATACTACAATCACTGAGCCTCATTCACTGACCTCAGATGATCTCCGTTTCAATAACTGTGTGATTTTTAGCACCCTCTGGTTGCACACATGTTGAATTTCATCTGTCACTTTGTGAACATCATTTTGTATGAAAAGCAATAAAAGTAGAAAACCTCCAAGGGGTTTGGATACTTTTAAATGTCACTGTACATGTGAAAATGTTTTTGAAATTTGAACTTTGTCAGAACGACACATGAACAAGAAATGACGTGACTGCCTAGAAAATCTAGAGCAACCACATCATTTCAGTTTGATACGGAAATGAGGGTCTGGTGTCCAACCGCCATCAGACTGCCGCTGTTTTCTCTCAGTGTCTCAATCTTTGCTGCTTTTAGAAATAGAGAAGTTAGTAGCTCCAAATCAGTCTTGGGTTTTCTACTCCTGACATTTTCATTGTATTTTGTACAATCCAAGTGTGGTGATATTTGTGAATAGACGGTAAGTTGTTACCAGAGATGCAAAGACTGGTCTTGTGGAAACAAAGCTTTGAATGTAAAATGTAAAAAATAAAATAAAAAAAAAGCCCCTCAGTGTTTGTCTTTACTGTCAAACGGAAAAAATGACCAATGGAAGTTTTTCAGCCTGCTGTCATACCAGAGGAGGTGTCTGGCTCGGGTTACGGTCGCCACCTGCTGGTAAGATGAAAACCAGCAATCACTTCAAGAAGTCCACAAAAGAGCAGAGCAGAGCAATCCCAGAGATTCCTGGATTTTGTGATAAAATAAACGCTAAAACATTGTAGTGGTAAAATGTCGATAATGTTTGAGATACTGGGGAAGAGCAGTTGGCTTTTTTTTTTTTAAGTTATTTTTTTGGCCTTTGTGCCTTTATTTGACAGTGCAGTGAGAGAGAGACAGGAATGTGGGGGAGAAGAATGGGGGAGGAAAAGGGCCATGATCGGGATTCAAACCCATGACCTCCACTTCAGGACTGTAGCCCTGTACATGGGACGCCAGCTCAACCCGGTGAGCTGTAGCGGCGCCCCAAAGCAGTCGGCTTTTTAAGCCTGTTTGAGCAGGTTCAGTAAAAGCCCACATAAAAAGACGGCGATGCCAGGAAGCAAAACATTGACATAAAAGATACTAAATTATCAAGTGTACTGAGGATAAATTAGCTCGTTGTTTGCCCTGTAGTAAGTCGAGGTCAAAAGAGAAATGTTTTCTCCATCAGAAAACACCTCATTTCAAGTCCAGGTTGGTCTTCCGTTACGTATCTGCATCACCGTGATGAAGTGATTTGAAAGACGGGTTATGAGGCACATTAAATCCTTACTGCCTCCCGGCCTCGATCAGCACTGTTGGACAAGATTCTCTTTTCTCCGTGTGTTCGTTTGTAAAGACGAAACAAATTCAGCACGGACTCAATCAATCAATTTAATCACACACTGAATATTGCATGACAGAGCTCCGGGTCAAACTCTGCCGAGCATCAGACAGAGTCAGACTAAGACCTTCTCCTCAGACCCTGGTCTTATACTATTCAGTCACATGACAGGTCGCACAATATGTCACACAAGCTGTTTCACATTTTCCTCTGATCTGTCCATTTGTTTGTTTGTTCCTTTGATCCTTTGTGCCTTTCCTGAAATGTATGCCGCTTTATCTTTACAGCCTGTCTTCCCCGCATCCACAGCTCATCCTGGTTATTGATTATCAGGTTATTGGCAGTTACACACTCATCTGCTTCCTCCCAAGGACGGGAACTCTGTCCTGACTTGACTTACAAGCACACGACTCTTTAAGAATCAACGTTATAAAGGGTAACATATGATGAATAAACCCTCAAGATTAATTATTTTGTTCTTGAAACTTAAATGATTATATATGTTTCGAATAATATATCATTTACACAACAGCACCAAATCACATACAGAGCCAACAGGTGATGCCATCAACACAGCCCTCCACACAGTGAGTCAGCATCTTGAACAGTCTGGCAGCTGTCAGGATGTTGTTTGTGGACTTCAGTTCTGGTTTTAACACACTCGTTCCAGGCAGACTGTTGTTCAAACTGCACAGTCTGGGCATCGGCGAGCACACCTGCAGATGGATCAGAGACTTTCTCAGTCAGGTTGGGGCCCCACCACTCCTGAGTCCTGGGGTCCCTCAGGGCTGTGTGCTCGGCCCCATGCTGCACACCCACGACTGTGCACCAACCCACAGCAGCAACATCTTTGTCAAATTTCAAGATGACACTACTGTGGTTGGGCTGATTAAACAACAGTGATGAGACGGCCTACAGGGGGGAACTCCTGAACCTCACTACCTGTTGCTCCCTCAGTAACCTGACACTCAACTCCTCAAAGACAAAGGACTTGGTGCTGGACTTCAGATGGAAACAGGAGGACCTGCTGTTGTCATCGTGTGACCAAAGCTCAAACTCAAACTGCAGTTTTATGGGAGGTTGAACACAAACAAACTGTCTATAAAAGGTATATGACAACTATAACTGCTGCCAAGGTTCAAACTGCTTCTTATCCTGCAGCATACATAACAGGATGATAACCCCTCCAACAGAGTTCTGCCTCCTCCCCTTTCACAGATCTGCCAGCTGAGGGATTGGTGTTGTCATCATGCTGCGACGTATAGGAACTGAAAAACCCATCTGCTGCAAATCAGTGTGGGAAGGTGGAAGACAATAAAGGTGGGTTTGGCCTCCTGTGTGACTCTTGTTTGTTGTGAAGGAATTAAAAACTCTGCAGACGTTTGCTGTCACTGAAAGGTGAAATGGCGCAGCGGGGAAATCAGCTGAATTCAGAGAAACTCTCTTGTTCCATCTGTCTGGATCTACTGAAGCATCCAGTGACTACTTCCTGTGGACACAGCTACTGCATGAAGTGTATTAAAGCCCACTGGGATGGAGAAGATGGTAAGAGGATCTACAGCTGCCCTCAGTGCAGGAAGACTTTCAAACCGAGGCCTGTTCTGGAGAAAAACTTCATGTTGGCAGAATTGGTGGAGGATCTGAAGAAGACTGAACTCCAAGCTGCTGCTGCTGCTGATCACTGCTATGCTGGAGCTGAAGATGTGTCCTGTGATGTCTGCACTGGGAGGAAGATGAAGGCTGTCAAGTCCTGTTTAGGTTGTGTGGCCTCTTATTGTGAACAACACCTTCAGCGTCACCATGATTCACCTCTGTTAAAGAAACACCAGCTGGTGGAGCCCTCCAAGAACCTCCAGGAGAACATCTGCTCTCGTCATGATGAGGTGATGAAGATTTTCTGTCGCACTGATCAGCAGCTGATCTGTTATCTCTGCACAATGGATCAACATAAAGGACATGAAAC